TTTGTGCAGTGTCCTATGACATCTATGTACCAAGTTTTATTGAAATGTGATGATTAGTACTTGAGATATCAGTGGAAAAGCCGAAAATTTATTAATCATTATGCAAATTAGGTAATTAATATTGCACAGATTTTTACCCAAAACTAATCAAATCTGCGCATTAGTTTGGGGCATCTGTGTGCCAAGTTTCATCAAAATCCAATGAGTGGTTCTTTAGATATCAGTGGAAGAGTCATGGAACAGCTAAAAATCAGCTAATTATCATGCAAATTAGGTAATTAATATGCATGGATTTTTACCAAAACCTAATCAAATCTGCGCATTGGCCCAGAGCATCTATGCACCAAGTTTCATCAAAAACTGATGTATGGTTCTTGATATATCAGTGGAACAGACGGACACACATACACACACACACACACACACGCACACACACACAGACAGACACACTAACTGCAAAGACTCCCTTTTTGTGCTTCGCACACGGGAGTCAAAAAATATAACAAAGATTGATAAATACTTACTCAGCTATTCCAGACTCCATATTCAAATCAATACCTCCATCTACTAATACACCATTACTGTTGAATACTGATTTGGCCATATAGCCCATAAAAGCCATACAACTAACATAAATAGCTATGGCAAATGCAAAGAGAACCTGGAAAAGATTATCATATAATCATTATGGTCAATATATTACATGTAATACAATACTATTGCAAGCTGCATGCAAAAGCCGCACTGTACAACTGATGTTATGATGAACCAAACGTGACAGGGGATTTACAAAATCAAATACAAATCTAATACAATAGGAAGCTACACAATCAAACTTTTATGATTGCTCTCAAGGTTTTAGTGTTATATACTGTAAAATACTTTACTTTAGCTGGAATTAATTTTTGCTGAAAACATTTTTTGAGCTGTTTTGTATGCAGTTTATTTTCACTAATATTTTATGAGTAAAATCTAGAAGAAAAAAAAAGTATTTACATTGGATTTTATTTTTTAAAAAAGTATCAGAACTATCATTCGTAATATTATTAATAGGTAAAATCAAGTCAGCTTTCTTTGCAGTGTACATGTATGGCATAGAAAAAAACTCCTACAAGGGTAGTTAACACCAGAGATAGCAATTCAGAATACAAATTGCAGCAAGTCAAAATTCACACACACACATTCTAGCAAATTAATTATACCGGGTATACCGTAACTATAAGGATAAAATATAGTATGATATGTTACATATGAAAGTGCTATATTTGATCAACTTTTGACCATACTTACTGGTGATGTACTTACCCAACAGGAAGTATTGAAAGTTTCCCACATCCAAACCATTCTAACAACTATGTAGATTAAATTTGCAGCTAAAACAATATTCCTATAAAATTTAAGTGTTGCTTTATTTTCTTCATAGATCTGTTTCTGGCATTTGGTGCCAACTTTACCCTTGGGCTATGAAAGAATGAACATAAAAAGTAACATTACAATGATACGTATAACAATGACTTTATTTTTATATTTGAATGCATTGTGTTTTACCTTCTGAAATATACTTGAGTGAGCAACAAATTTAGAAAATTCTCAATATTTTTGTTCAAACTGAATCAATTGTTCTTAATTATATAATAATTAAGTGACAAAATTAAAACAGATGGCACATGAAGTATTGTTAAACTTGGCATTGTATAAAACTATTGAGCAAATTACATGTAATGTGCTTTTGTGATAAACACAACCTTCTCTGGATCTGTAGCATTGTTTGAAGTAGGTCTCATTTACATTTGCTTAGCAGACCTTTCATTCTCATCAAACAATGAATTCAAGGCTTAATATCAACAAGGATGTTTTCCTGACATATAGTTGCTATCAATTTGTTCTAATCTTTTTAAAATGGCAGAATATCGCTTGCAAAATCAAATTAATTCCCGGTTATAATTGTCATTGTTAATTTGGGTGAGGATTATAAATATCAAATTTTCAGCAAATAATTACATACTTCAATGTTCTACTATAATGCATGTGCACAAACAGTATCTGCATTTAGTTGATGGAACTTTTGGATTACGTTTGTTGCAGCATCAAAGGTAAATTATTTTTGCTTTTATTTTTTGCAGGACATTTCAAAGTGTGTCTCGTCTTCAGTTTCCTTAAAAGTACATAAGTCACAAAGTCTTTTGTCAATTGAAATTACTAAACTGAGTTTTAGGTTTTGTGTGTCTATTTCAATTTTGAGACAGTGATTGCTGAGTCTGATTTTACATAACTGCTCTCTCAATTCAATGCTCTCGATATCAAACTAATATTTTCCAATCTGAAAATGTTTTTGAAGCCTCTGTATGTTCTCTGTTTATTTTTTTCTCTGAAATTTTTTTCTCTGCCATCATGAATATAATATTTCCAACATAATTTAAAGATGCTTTAAAATTTGTTTATCTATCATTTTTATAATAATAATAATTTGATTGAGTTTTTATTTTTGCTTTATAATATATAATTATTACATCAATATTGTTATAATATCAATTTTTGTGTACATCGAGCTATATCATTGAATGACCAAGAACATCAGTTTTTGCTGGAAGAACCCATTTCCTTGCAACCTGTAAACCATTGAATTAATCTATTCTTAGTTCACAGTGTAAGCAAAGTGTAATCAAAATGTATTTAACAAACACATACAACTGTAACAATATAAACTCACCGGCATTTTGGTAGATAAAATATGCTTGGCAAATACAAACGAATCCCGACACTTTTCGCCGAATTTAACCTTTGGCCTTTTTATTGGAACAATGTCAGCCCAGCATTCGAAATATTATTTACTTTCATCTTTACACTGCTTTTAGCTGAAAAGTGTGAAATAATAATATGCCTTTAATTTGTTCTTATCATTATTTTTAAAATTTGTTTCTAGCAATTATGTACTTATATTTTCTATGTTTGTACATATTTGCTACAAATGATTGCATTACTTCTGCCTCGCCCAATGTTGTGAACGATTGATTGTTTTACCTTCTCTGTTCAATGTGGAAACGTAGCAGTTCGGTTTTCAGCGTCTCTGTTTTGCCGATTAACCCACAGATGTGTTACAACCGTAATTCGCTAAGACATACTACGGTTCCAGATTCATTCATGGTCGTAAATTTATCGTCATAAGGTTAGTTTCAAACATATCAATCGGATATTAGGGAAAGTCTCCATTTGTCGAGTTCAGCTGGCCATGATTTGGTCACTTCCCCATTTCCTTGTAGACAACAGTGCATTACGTCATCGATCTTAACAGACTTGGTAAAGTGGTCATAGAATTCCTTGCACTAACACTGTCCATGTGAACATACGGCATTTATTCGGTTTTTGAATGACATTGTCAATAATAGTAATGTATAAATAGATGTGGATGCGAGGTGCTGGTGTTCACAAATCGAAGTTTAATATTCCACACACGGGCAAGTCATGTGATTGTCTAAAGCTTACGTATTGAGTACACTGCCACTGCACTTTGGTACGGCAGCTGAACTGTTATTTATCATGATCTTTTCCTAGTGCTATTATTAGTCCCCGTTCGGACGAAGTCCGAAAACGGGGACTTATAATTCGGTCTCCGTCCGTCCGTCCGGAGTCGTATCTCAGAATCCCTTGGACCGATTCCTTTCATTCTTTGCATGTGCCTAGTACTTTATGTGCGACACATGCACATGCGGTGGTTTAGCGATTCGATTCAAAATGGCCGACTGGCAGCCATCTTGTTTTTTGAAAATGTTGTATTTTGGACATGCTTTGTCAGTTTTCATTCAAACTTGGTACATAGATTATACATGTTAGGATACATGTCCATGATGATTGGCCGACTGGCAGCCATCTGTTTTTGAAAATGTGTATTTTGGACATGCTTTGTCAGTTGTCATTCAAACTTGGTACATAAATTATACATGTTAGGATACATGTCCATGACGATTTATTTTGCAATTGGATCAAAGATGGTCGACTGGCAGGCATCTTGTTTTTGTTTTTTTATGCGGTATCTTGGACGTGCTCTGTCAGTTTTCATTCAAATTTGGCACATACATGTACTTTATACATGTTAGGATGCATGTCCATGACAATTTGTTTCAAAATCTGGTCAAGGATGGCTGATTGACAGCCATCTGACTTTTTGGCCTACTATATTTCCACAATTTATGTACCATTTTCATTCGTATTTGGCACATACATCATACATATCAGTGTGTTTCATAATCAGATCAAAGATGGCTGAATAACGGCTGTTTTTATTTTGGCCATATTACTATGACACAAAACACGTGTTTTGATGTAAATAAACAATCTGCTGTATACGCCACTTGGAACTCAAGTTTCAAGGACATGCTCGCGACAACCCCTCCGCTTTAATATGACAAGCAAAAGGAGAACTTAACAGGGACTGTGTCATTTTCAATGACTTGTTATTATTATTTAAAATAAACAGTGTTACTGTGTATTGAAGCCGTACAAAGTTAAGCAACTAAACTGAATCAAATTTTGTTAAATCTCTCCTGCTATGACCATTTAAATCAACTTAAACACAATTCTGAAGAAGAAAAAAATCAAACCACAAAAAGAAAAATAACAAAGGCTGATATAAATAAAAAGAAATGGTTTGAGCAAGACTGTAGGCTTTTTAAACACAAGTTCATGGTAGTACGTCCGTGAGTATAAAAGTATTTGTCGTCAGAACAGAATTCAAAAAAGTCACCGAAACAAAACAAAAAGCTTCACAACTGTATAATCTGGAGAGCTCAAAAAGTGAACAACGACACCGCATAACCAAACAAATGATTTAATAACACCTAATGAGTGGTTAAATTATTTCAATAAACTATTAAATCCATCGTGCAATGTTAAACACTTAAGGTAGCGAGAGGGGAAACATAATTTATAGTTTAATGGAGTTTAGGACTTTCCTCACCAGTTACTAAGCATGCAGTTATGGCAATGTATATGTTTTCAGAAAGCTGAGATATAGCAGAGTACGATCATATATGTTTCGTCTTGATATTTGCTCAGGGGATTAAGTTACGATCGTTCCCGTTAACCTCCTAAACGGAGAGTTTTTTTGCGGGATTGGCCGTTTCTCGGTGTTCCTTTTTTCTATGTTTCTGATCTTTTCACTGTTGCTTTATAAGATAATGATCTTTGAGAATGCGTCTCGAAATTTTTATGTGCCCCATAGTTCTGGAGATAAAGCCTGTTGAACTTTATGGACTAAATTTTACGAACGTCTTCCTGTTCCCAAGGCTGTAACTCAACGTCAACGGCTCACATAAATGTCCATGAGACATCATATTTTAGCCCATTTTGTGACAAGTAGATTGTGTAATTTATACATCGTTAGCGTAAAGAAAAGTGTTGAAAGATGACATCTTCAATAGTTATGATAGTCAAAAATTGGTTTCTGTAAAACTCAATAAAACGTTTTTTTCGAATTTGGCCACAGATAACAGCTAATTAATGACAAAATGTCGACCATTTCGATCATACTTCGATAA